CCCCCCTCTCATGTGCTCTCTCTCATTCTCTCTCTCTCAAATAAATAAATAAAATCTTTAGAAAAAAAAAAAGAAGGTTAAAAGAAAATAAAACCAATTATATCTAAATATTAAAGGGACTCACAAAAAGATGTAAAATATGACAACATATATATAAAATGTGGAGGAGGAGTAAAAATGAAGTTCTTTTAGTGTGTGTTCAAATTTAAGTGACCTTCAACTTAATATAGATTGCTATATACTTAGGATATTGTAGAACCACAAACCAAAAACCTGTGACACACAAAAATAAAGGAAACCAAACCAAGCATAACACTAAAGGAAGTCATCAATCACAAGGAAAAAAAGCAAGAGAAGAAAAAAAGGACGAAAGAAGAACTACAAAAACAACCAGAGAACAATTAACAAAATAGCAATAAGGACATACCTATTGATAATTACTTTTAGTGTAAATGGCCTAAGTGCTCCAATCAAAATAGGGTGATAAAATGGTTAAAAAACCAAGACCCATCGATATGCTACTTACAAGAAACTCACTTCAGACCTAAAGACACATAGAGACTGAAAGTGAAGGGATGGAAAAAGATATACCATGCAAATAGAAGCCAAAAAAAGAAAAAAAAAAAAAAAGCCAGGGTGGCAGTACTTCTATCAGACAAAAGAGACTTTGAAGCAAGAACAGTAACAAGAGACAAGGGCATTACATAGTGATAAAGAAATCAATCCAACAAGAGGATATAACAATTGTAAATATCTATGCACCCAACACTAGAGCACCTAAATACATAAAGCAAATATTAATAGACATAAAGGGAGAAATTGACAGTCATACAATAATACTAGGGGACTTTAATACCTCACTCACATCAATGGGCAGATCATCCAAGCAGAAAATCAATAAGGAAACAATGGCTTTGAAGGACATATGAGACCACATGGACTTAACAAAGAGAACAATCCATCCCCAAATGGCAGAATACACATTATTTTCATGTGCACATGGGAATTCTCCAGGATGGATCACATGTCCAGACACAAAACAAGTCTCAATAAATTTATGAAGATTGAAATCATATCAAATATCTTTTCCAACCACAGTGGTATGAAAGTAGAAATCAATTACAGGAAAAAAACTGAAAACGACAATCCTGTAGAGGCTAAACAACCAGTGTGTCAATGAAGAAATCAAGGAGGAAATGAAAAAAAGATACATGGAGACAAATGAAAATGAAAACACAATGGTCCAAATGGGATACAGTGAAAGTAGTTCTAAGTGGGAAGTTTATAGTAATACAGGCCTACCTCAAGAAACGAGAAAAATCTGCAACAATCTAATCTTATACACAGATGAACTAGAAAAGAAGAAAGCTCAAAGCTAGTAGAAGAAAGGAAATAATAAAGATCAGAGCAGAAATAAATAAAATAGAGACCAAAAAAATAGAAAAGATAGATGAAACCAAGAGCTGGTTCTTTGAGAAGAAAAACAAAATTGATAAACTTTCAGCCAACTCATCAAGAAAAAAGCACTCAGATAAAGAAAATTAGAAATGGAAAAGGAAAAGTAACAACCAATATCACAGACATACAAAGGATTATAAGAGACTGTAATGAAAAATATGCCAACAAATTGAACTGCCTAGAAGAAATGGATAAATTCCTAGAAATATACCATTTTCCAAAACTGAATCAGGACACACAGAATCTGAATTACTAGTATTAAAATTGAATCAATAATAAAAAACTCCCAACAAACAAAAGTCCACGACTAGATGGATTCACAGATGAATTCTACCAAACATTTAAAGAAGAGTTAATACCTACTCTCCTCCAACTGCTTCAAAAAAGTAGAAGAGGAAGCTTCCAAATTCATTCTATGAGGCCAGCATTACCCTGATACTATAGTCAGATAAAGACACTATAAAAAAAAAAGAAAACTACAGGCCAATATTTCTAACGAATATACATACTAAAGTCTTCAACAAAATATTAGTAAACCGCATCCAACTATACATTAGGAGAATCATTCACCATGATGAAGTGGAATTTATTCCATGGGTGCAAAAATGGTTCAATATCCACAAATCAATCAACGTGATACACCACATTAACAAATTGAAGTTTTTGTCTATGGGATCATCTCAATAGATGCAGAAAAAGCATTTAACAAAGAACAACATCTGTTCATGGTTTTAGAGGGACATAACATAATAAAGGCCACATAGGACAAACCCACAGCCAACATCATCCTCAATGGTGAAAAACAGAGCTTTTCTTCTCAGATCAGGAATAAGATAAGGATGCCCACTCATTTTTATCCAACATAGTACTGGAAGTCCTAGCCACAAAAATCAGACAATAAAAAGAAATAAAAGGCATCCAAATTGGTAAGGAAGAAGTAAGACTGTCACTATTTGCAGATACTATGGTATTTTATATAGAAAACCCTAAAGACTCTACCAAGAAACTATTAAGAGTAATAAATGAACTCAGGAAAGTTGCAGGATATGAGATTAATATACAGTAATCAGTTGCAGTTCTATACAAGAATAATGAACTAGCAGAAAGAGAAATTAAAAAAAAAAATTTACAATTGTACAATTGTACCCAAAAATACCTAGGAAAAAACTTAACCAAGGAGGTGGAATATCTATACTCTAAAAACTATAAAATAATTGATGAAAGAAATTGAAGACAACATAAACAAATGGAAAGATATACCATGCTCATGGATTAGAAGGATTAATATTGTTAAAATGTCCATACTACCCAAAGCAAGCTACAGATTCAATGTCATCCCTATCAAAATACCAACAGTAATTTCACAGAACTAGAACAAACTGTGCTAAAATCTGTATGAAACCACAAAGGACCCCAAAAAGCAATCTTGAGAAAGAAGAACAAATTTGTAGATATCACAATCCCAGGTTTTAAGGCACACTACAAAGCTACAGTAATCAAAACAGCATGATACTGGCACAAAAATAGAAATACCAATGGAACAGATAGGGACCCAAAAGAATAAACCCATGCTTATATGGTCAATCTATGACAAGGGAGGTAAAAACGTACAATGGCGAAAAGATAGTGTGTTTTTAATAAATGGCATCAGGTAATATTCCATTGTATATATGAACCACATCTTCTTTAACCATGAGAGACTCTGGACTCTGGAAAACAAACTGAGGGTTATAGAAGGGAGGGGGATGGGGGGATGGGGTAACCAGGTGATGGGTATTAAGGAGGTCACATGTTGTGATGAAAGGATAATACATTCAACTAATGAATTGTTGAACACTACATCAAAAACTAATGATGTACTATATGTTGGCTAACTGAATAATAAATAAATAACATTGGGAAAACTGGATAGCTATATGCAAAGAATGAAACTGGACCATTTTCTTATACCATACACAAAAATAAACTCAAAATGGATTAAAGACCTAAATGTGAGACCTGAAACCACAAAACCCCTAAAAGAAAATAGGCAGTAATCTCTTGGACGTTGGCCTTAGCAACATTTTTCTAGGTATGTCTCCTGAGGCAAGAGAAACAAAAGCAAAAATAAACTATTGGGACTACACCAAATAAAAAGCTTTTGCACAGTGAAGGAAGCCATCAACAAAACAAAAAGGCAACCTGCTGAGTGGTAGAAAATATTTGCAAATATATTTTATAAGGGGTTAATATCCAAAGTATATAAAGAACTTATACAACTCAAGATCAAAACCCACAAATAATCCAATCAAAAAATAGGTAGAGGACCTGATCAGACATTTTTTCCAAGGAAGACATGCAGATGGCCAACAGACACATGAAAAGATGCTCAACATAAGGGAAATGCAAATCAAAGCCACAATGAGGTGTCCCCTCAAGCTTGTCAGAATGGCTATTATATACATAGTACCCACACTCACATGTGCACGCGCACGCGCGCGCACACACACACACTGGAATATTACTCAGCCATAAAAAAGATTAAGATCTTTCCATCTGCAACAACATAGATGGACCCTGAGGGCATTATGCTAAGGGAAAAACATACCATTTGATTTCACTTATATGTGGAATTTAAAAGATACAAAAAAATGAACAAACCAAAAAACAGAAACAGACCCATAAATACAGAGACAAACTGGTGGTTGCCAGAGGGGAGGAGGGGGGTGGAGGGATGGTCAGGTACAGGCTTCCAGGTATGGAATGAATAAGTCATGGGGATGGAATGCACAGCGTAGGGAATAAAGTCGATGGTTCTGTCATGGCCTTGTATGGTGACAGATGGTAACCACACTTGGAGTGAGCACAGTGTAACGTATAGTATCTGTATGTTGTACACCTAAAACTAGTGTAACCGTGTGTGTCAACTAGACTTCAATAAAGAAAGCAATAAAATTTTTGAAAACAAAAAAGAACCCACCAGGACATAACCTCCTCAGGCTGCTACTAGACCACTTCAAAGGTGGCATCAGAATTAAGAAAGAAAAATAAAAATGGATGCCGGCACATAGATTTCTATGCCAGTATTCGATTTATCACCCACACCCGGCAAATAGCGTGCTGCCTTATTGGTTTGTTTTTTTTTTTTTCTCATTCTTGGTTTCATTTCATCTTAAAGGAACGATCTGTGTTTCTCCTTTCATGTGGCCTCCTGTTCATTCCCTTCCTCAGCATCAAACGATTACTGATTTTTGACACATACAAAGGCATGAAGGGAGTGACTGCTTCCTGGAAGCATCTACACGTGTGTGCCGATGCGCACGTTTGCTCCCATCCAGGGAAAAAATGTGACTTTGTGAGATGAAGACCATTCTCGAGCCTGCCTGAGGCATAAACAGCTCTCAAAACAGAAAGCTCTAATGCAAACAGTACAAATGAAGGGGGGCTGCCTGCAGGGGCACCCGGGGACCTGAACTGCCTGGAATTCATGGACGGAGGAGATGAGAAGCCGCGAGTGGGAGAGAAGGAAGCACTGGGCCCTGTATTTGTGCCACAGCCAGACTTTAGCTACTGTTCTCGTTCATGTCCTCTCCCCCGCCAGTGCCTGGGATGACAACACCCTGAGAGCATGTCTCTGTCCAGACGTCTCACATAGGACCTAAGTCGGTGTGCTACGGAAGCAGGCACGAGGGAGCAGTCTTCTATTTGGTTCAACTCTGGGATAATAATAATCATCTTACTACCAGATACCATGCCTTCATCATGGGCCCAGCAGTGCTCATGCCTCATAACACCCTATGAAGTGGGCTCCATTATGTTAAGGAAATCAAGGCTCACAGAGGTTAGTCGTCTTCGCTGAGGTCCCACAGCTAGTATGTGGGAAAGCCAGCATCCAGGCTGGTCCGCATGACGGTGGTCATCCCACGTGATTGGCGTGCAGGGGATAGGGGTGAAGGGAGAGAGGCACAGGGAGGCTGGGGGGCTGGTGAGTGTCGGACAAGGGAGGGAAAGGAATTTTAATGGCAGTCATGCATTTTATTCCACAGACTAAGTCTTCCAATGTTGAGTCCCCTATCAATGAAATAGTTGGGACCCTATTTGAGCTTTATTTTGTGGTAAATAGAATGGTTAGGAGCAAATAAATTCGAGACAATTGAATCTGTCAGAGAGAGAGCAAAATTGTTCTGAATTGTTATGAGATGGTTACTGTCATCCTGGGCTTTCTATTGAACAGAAATAACACAGTGAATGCTATTCTTTCCCTCTCAAAAATGTTTTTCTTGCTTTCTGGGTTCTTTGTGAGGCTCACACTCTACCCTATTAGGAGCTCTAGAAAGTCTTATGTCGTTTGGGCTAGACATGCAATGTGATTTTGTGGCCTAGGAGCAGGCTTGTAACTCAGCTTCAAGTCTGGGGGATCTTCTGCCAAATGTGGGGGGAGGGAATCTCATTTTCAGGTGCTTGGGACTGAGACACATGAGAGAAATTCTTGCAAGAGCAATACTGGCTACACCTTTGCTGCCCATCCCATCTTCCCTGAGGAGAGTGAGGCTGTGGGCCCCCAGACCCCCACACAGTCTGTGTACGCCTCCCTCTGGGCTGTGTGCAGGCCCGTTGAGCTGGTGAACCTGGCAGCCCCAGTGATAGGAAGGAACCCAGGGACTTACATTCGCTGAGCCACTTGTTGGGGTCCAGCATCAGATACTGTTTGGTGATCTCCAGCTCCTTCATCAGCCACTCGTACTTGGCCCGGACCTCGGCGATTCTCTGCTGGCGATGCTCCAGAATTTTCAGTTTCGCATTGAAGCACGTAACCTCCTAGAAGGCAGAGGAGAAGGACTGGGGGTGTGTGGAGAGAGGGAGAAGAGGCCCCCCAGCTCGGATGCAAGCCACCTCTTGGAGATGGGAATGCTCCGTGCGCAGTCAGCGATGAGGGAGCTGGCCCCTCGCTGGGAAGCTGGGAGGGACTGGATTCTCCCAGCCATGTTTGTGCCTTTTGCCCGAGTCCGCTCAGCCAGCCGCAGGGTAGGACTATCATGGGCATGTCTTACACTGAGGAGGCGGCTGGGGTTCCAGGCTGGAGCCAGACAAGCCCCCAGGACCGGCAGCTCCCCCAGCGGTTGAGCCTTCTAGACACCCGGGCAGAGAAACACGGAGCTCTCCTTGTCCGTGCAAATTGTCTGTGGCTGGGGCAGAGCCACCGACTCCCACCTGCCCCAGGACCCTGCGGGGATGTCTCCGCAGGTCTGAGCGTGCCGCTCAGGGCCCTGCTCCAGCACCTGCCTGCGGGCTGGGGTTGGGGGGCTGCCACCACCGTGTGGGGACGAGACGGCTCACCTTGCTGCTGCCCGCACGTCGCCGCTGTAGCCGCTCTACGTCATCGATTTCATAGACTTTGATCTCAAAAGGTTCCCCGAGGCCCCTCTGGGTGGTGCGCAAGGGGCCGTCCACCCAGCAGACCCCAGTGCTGCTGACGGGCTTTCTTATAGGGGAGGGGGTATCAAGGGACAGCGCTGGGATGAGCCTCCGTCTCTGAGAACCTGAGGAGGGAACGAAGCCCAAAGTTTATCTTTTTGGATTTCAGTCTTTTAAATGAACATATTTTCTGATGTGCGTGCTAGGACCCTGATAGTCACCCCAGGGTCTGTGGCAGGGCTGACTGTGAAACATGCCAACGCCCTGCCACGCACCTCAACAGTTACTCCCTTAATCTGGCTTCACCTCCAAAAGCTCACCAACTCCCTGCCTTCCCTTAGAGCCACCTCCAGTCTCCACCCATGAACCACATGTGTGCACGCACACGCACACACGCACCCCAAAACACATGGTCTAGACCTGTCGGCCATACTGGCCCCACTCTCAGCATGAATGTATGTTACCATGGAATTCAAGAGATGCTTGTGTTCTGGGGAAAAAGGGTCCTAGTATTTGGTATTATAGGAATAGTTCTAAAAAACATTGCTTTTTTGCTTATAGCGACAGCCAACACTGTGAGAAGCACTGATTATGTGCCAGACCCTATTCAACACACTTGACAACCTGTGACAGAGGGCTAGCTGTCCCCAATATGCGCTGCTTCCTCCGTGAAGGGGACAGAACAGGAGTAGGGTGCACAGCCGCCAGGATGGGAACCATGCCCCTGGGACCTGCACCTCAAGCTCCCACTGATGGGGCATCGGCAGAAGTGCTGTGGGCAGCTGCTAGACAGCGTCCTTAAAGGCTGGGGGTCTGTCGTCCCCCTCTTCCTGTCCCCTCTGTCCTTGATGAAATATGACGCCTGCTTCAGGAGGTGAAGATCAGGAACAGCACAAAAAGGACACAGGAGGGGCCTAGACTCCGGGCACCCTTGAGACTTTGACAAGATCATCTACACAGATCTTTTTTAGGGACTTCGTTTTTCTCGAACAGATTTGGGGTCACAGCTCCATGGAGAGGCAGGGACAAAACAAGAACCAATCTGGTGACCGAGTGAACAGCATGAGGCGGGCAGAGCAAAGCAGGGCACTCCCAGCCCCTGCGAGGAGTTATCACACTCCCGGCCAAGAACCGAGGCAGACACCCCACCGCCAATGACAATCCGTACTCTAGCTGCCCCGCAGGGGAGGTGTAAGTCGGCCTGGGCTTACATCTTCTATGGTCGTTACATCCGACAAGAACAGCCCCTTGGTGGGTTAGTCTCACCCTGCTGCCCGCAGGCCATGCTCCTGCTGCCCGGGCTTGTGCTCCCCTCAGTGCTCGGCCCACAAGGGCCTCCACCCTCTCTGCCCTAACCTCCTATGAGGCTTGATCGCGGTGCTTCCCAGCGGACTGCTGTTGCGCTGGCCTGCCCTGTGTCTGAACGCTTCCCACACTTATGCCTCACAACCCCACTCGGGATTTGTCAGTTTGCCTCGGTCACCGTTCTGCTCCATGCTTCTCCTGCTTTGTCTCCAATTAGATGACAAACCTCTTACAGTGGCCTCGTCTTCGATGCTGCCTGCCCCTCCCCACCACGCTCGAACCTTGTGTGTCAGCGAGCTCTAAGAGCACAGAAGAGGGGGACAGATCAAGATTTAACAAAAGAAATCCCATGGACTGTGGATCGTCTTATGGAAAGGAAGTCATATGACCACCAACATTCTTTATGTTATCTGCATTGTTTCCTATGATGTGAACATCAGAGAGACCGTGTTGGTGCTCTACCAAATCCTTCATTTTACTTTTATGTGAGCCCAGAGAGGGTAGTTATTCCCTGAAGGCCACAGCCCAACAGCCCAAGTCTCCTGCTCTCTAGCTCAGTCTTCTCACTACACCACACTCTGGCTAATTTCATGCACTTTCCACCAACATGGGTCTCCAGGAATGGGACCCATAAGGTGACCTTAATGACATTTGGTTGTTTCTCATGCTACACACTCCAAAGCACTCAGAGGTCAAGGTTATCCACCTTGTGATCTGTTTTTATTCGTTTTTCAACCAAATCATTACAATTTTCCAAATTCAAAAGCAATCTCTGATAAAAGATAACTGCCCGTCTCCTCTGCAAACATCTCCAGGAATTGTACAATCCAGCCATCTAGCTAGGAATTTCCTTTGAGGAGTTTTATGGCTTCTTAAAGAAGTTGCTTTTGATTTATGCTGATCATGTCTGACAGCCAGCATTTCTCTTAATAATCACCATAAATAAGAGAGACAAGGTCACCTAACCTGAAAGGAGCTTATCTCCACTGCCACGTCCATCATGGGGCCCTGGATCCCTGGCACCTGCTCGCAGACATCTGATTCTCCTGGCGCTCTGTGTTAAACCCATCTCTGGCCCCTAGCCTGGTGCTTCAATCCTACACCGTGTCCTCCGATAGCCTCACCCAACAAGAGAGCCTCAGAGGACAGACTTTATGGAAGGAGACAGCACCAGGCACGGGCAGGTGTGGAGCCTGCTGGCTGCTATCAGCTCAGCTGTTTTATAGAGCTCTGTACCCCCTTTATAGAGCTCTGTTGACTTCTTTGAGGCAGACAAACGGTTTATGATGTGCATTATGTTCCGGTTGGAACATTCCAGAGCTTGTGCTCGTCTGTGTCAGAAGAAACCCCGTGGTCGAGACAGAAAGCCCGTGGGGCAGTTGCCGGAGCAGCTGCAGGAAAGGGGAGACCCCACTTCGAGGACTCACCCCATTTTTTACTTCCTGATAAGCCCATAGCACCACTGTTCTGGGGGCCATGGTTTCCGAGGGGGCCATGGTTTCCGAGGGCCCCATGGAAGGGCCATGGACGACGAAGGCCAGGCTGGGGGGCAGGACCCCATGCCCCCCTCACGTTGGCCAAGGCATAGACTGCACACAGGGCTCTGCGTCAGATGGCCTCATTAAAAAATGTGTCCTTCACTCAAGAAGAAGGAGGGGAAATTTCTGTGGAATCCCCTAAAGAGTGGAGCTGAATCAGGGGATTCCTCAGTAGCTCACACTGTCCTCGTTCCTTCTGTTTCTCTGTCCAGGCCTCTCTTCACGCTGTTTCCCTTCACCTGCCCCATGGCTACAGGGCCACCAGCTCTGACCTGGGTCCTCCTCCTCACCCATCATAAGTTCCTGTCCCCTGTAACCCTAAACTCCAACTCAGAAGTCAGTGGCCTTTATCACCTCATTAGAGTCTTTGGACTCTTTACTTGCCTTTTGATAGGAGATTCCTGGAGATGGAAGACGTTCTCTGAGAGCATGCATTTTGGACACCAGGGTGCTTTGGTGTACCACGTTAGTGTGCTCTGTGTGTGTGTGCATTGTGCTAATGCACTGTGTGTGTCTTGTGTGTGTATCATGCTGCTGTGCTGTGGGTATGTGTATCATGCTGGTGCACTGTGTGTGTGTGTGCGTATATGCATCGTGCTGGTGCACTGTGTGTGTGTGTGTGTGTATCATGCTGGTGCACTGTGTGTGTGTATATGGATTGTGCTACTGCACTGTGCGTGGGAGGGATTGTGCTGGTGCTCTGTGTGTGTGTGTATCGTGCTTGTTCACTGTGTGTGTGTTGTGCTGGTGCACTGTGTGTGTGTGGCAATCGTGCTGGTGCACTGTGTGTGTGGGGATCGAGCTGGTGCACTGTGTGTGGGAGGGATCGTGCTGGTGCACTGTGTGTGTGTATCGTGCTTGTGCACTCTGTGGTGTGAGGATCGTGCTGGTGCACTGTGTGTGGGGGGATCGTGCTGG